GTCAGTTAGCTAGTTTTTAATCCACTTTCAAAATGCTCTACTGATATTGTACTGTTCATTTTTTACCTGAATGTTTTCCCTACTAAATCAAATGTCTCACAGAAATTGAAGTTTATTGCATCTGCACAGTACCCTTGACCAGCCAAATGTGCACTAGATTTCACTTTATTTTTTTCATACTTTTCATTTAACACAGAGCTGTCCTGTATTTATCCCCCCCCCTTTTTTTTGGCTCTGCTTCCGAATGAGATGTGTGGTTGATCAGTCAGTTTGTAACTCTAGTGTTTGTAAATCTAAGGTTCTGTGTAGATGCTGTTTAACATCCTCCTTGGCAGCTAATGGACTGGAGACGATTTCATCACCTCATGTGATACGAGTACCCCACACTGCTTCTTTCTAAAGGCGGAACAAAACTATTTCTTCAACACATCTACGTTTTCTGCAACATTAACAAGTTTCCTTTCTCCCTCTAGGAATTGGCCTAAACCTTTTCAAGGTCCTTTTTCTTATCCTTAGCCCAGCAATACATGGATTGTTCCCTAATGCCTTTAACATCCCTTATCAATTTTCATAACTTCCAATTTGTATTGCTTGCTATCGATTTCCCTTTCCCCCATTTGTATATATTGCTTTTCCCACATAATTGCTGCCTTCACTTTGCCATTGAAAGGGGTTTTTAGCCAAAGTTCTCCACTTCCTTGAGTGTGGAATCGTGACGTTTTAGCTATCCAATAAACTCTTCTTAAAGAATTCCCAAGTTTCACTCCCATATTTATGTCTAATATTTTCCTCTCAATCTGTTTTCTTGATAATTTTTTTCAGTTTTGGGGAATTAGCCCTTTTGAAGCCTAAGTATCTATAGATATTACTGGTTGGGAACTGTTCTCTTTTTTTCCATTTGAATGTAATCAGTTCTATTCTTTATATTCCTCTCCTTTATTATCTGCCCCCTTCTTTGTCTCTTCTCTAAATTAAACAGTCCCAGACTTTTCAGTTTGCCCGCATATGACAGCCTTCCCCATTCTCAGATCCTCTCGGAAATCCTCTTTATAATGCTGTATGTTTTTTAGAGACTGGATGACCAAAACTGAACACATATCCAGAGCAGGTTTTCTCCATCCCATTTCTTAGGCATTCAAACATTGTACTTGATTTGGCCACTATTGCAAATGAGCATGTGCTTTGTTGACCTGCTATCAATGACGTCCAGGTCTTTTCCCTGAGGTGTGTTCTAGTTGGGATGTTTCTCCCTGGCACATGTCTTGGCAAAGGTTTGGGTTTTTTTTACACTCTCAGATTTTGAGCAGTCGGGTGAACGGGGAACTCTCTACTGCATGGACTCCCTAGCCTGGCTTTCATTGCATTAAGGAACAATGATGGATAACCAGTATCCACACTCGTGTTTCTTGATGGTGCCTATTAAGGTTTCCCACACTACGACATGTAGGAATTGTTGATGCATGGAGCACCATCAAATATAGAATTTGCATTAGTGGGGCCAGTTGTTCATAATTCATTTATCTGAATAATGAAAATGTCATTTCTCAGTGTGAGAACAGCCTCCAGTAGTGCATGTAGTGTCTCATATTAACATTGTCTCTCCATCCAGGCATTTGTATTGTGACCATCACCCTAGAGCCTGGGCACATTCAGGAAATCAGGGGAAAGTACGGTACATGCAGGAGACACCGTTCTGCCTCAGAGTTGGACACCTTCTCCCCTACTCCATGTCTGATTCCAACACAACCGACTTTACCAACCCCTCCACCTTCATCCTGCTGGGCATTCCTGGCCTGGAGGTGGCCCATGTCTGGCTCTCCATCCCCTTCTGTGCCATCTACATCATAGCCATCTTGGGGAACTTTACCATCCTGTTCATTGTGAAGAGGGAGAAGATCCTACATGAGCCCATGTACTATTTCCTCTGCATGCTGGCCATCACCGACCTGGTCCTGACTACATCCATCCTGCCCAAAATGCTGAGCATTTTCTGGTTCAATTCCAGGGAGATCGGTTTCAGTGCCTGCCTCGCCCAGATGTACTTCTTTTCCTGCTTCATAGCAATGGAGTCTGGGATCTTTGTGGCCATGGCTTTGGATCGCTATGTGGCCATCTGCCATCCCCTGAGACATTCCACCATCCTGACAAACCCTGTGGTGGCCAAGATTGGCCTGGCCGTGGTGCTGCGTGGCGGCCTGCTCGTACTGCCCTATCCCATCCTGGTGAGGCAATGGCCATATTGTAGAAGCTACATCATCCCCCACTCGTACTGTGAACTCATGGCTGTGGTGAAGCTGGCCTGCGCCGACATCCACGTCAGTAGTTACTACAGCCTCTCTGTGTCATTCTTGGTGATAGGTCTGGATGTGTTTTTTATTGCCATGTCCTATATCCAGATCCTCAGGGCCATCTTCAGACTCCCCACAAAGGATACCCGGCTCAAGGCTTTTGGGACCTGCAGCTCCCACATCTGTGTCATTTTAGCCTCTTACATCCCAGGTCTCTTCTCTGTCCTTACACACCGGTTTGGCCACAATGTGGCTGTACATTTCCACATTCTGATGGCTAAC